TGTCTAGACCTGAAACAGCAGTTATATGAATACTGCTAAATTTGCACTAAAATATTTATTAACCAATGGTTTAATCTTCCAGTCTTTTACAGTAACAAAGCCAAAGTGAATCTCATGCTCAGATACATCGTGCCATACACATCAGCCATCAGGAAGGGCAGGAATGAGAAGTCACTATTATAGAAAATCTTAAAGTTATGATTTTGAAATTCAGAACTGCTTTTACAAGCCAACAAAACAGGCTGGACAGAAATCTGCATATGCATATGGCAGACATGTGAATGAATGAGCACATTCCATGAAGTATGACCTCCAGAAAAGATTCTACAATAAAAATCAAATAACAACACGCCCCTGCCATCCATCGAACAATTTTGAAATCATTAAGAGTTGAAGCACATTTACACATAGTACAAAATTAAGTGAGGCTTTTGAACCTTTTTGTCCTTTAGAGAATCACTGCACCATGGAGACATTTGGCAAGGAGCTGGAGGATGTGTGGAGGAACTTTGAGATCATCAACAAAGTCACGTACTGATACGAGAGCATCAGTGCTCCAGAGCCAGGAGTCTGGGTGGGCTCTGATCACAGCTGCTTAGAGCTCTGGTTTGCACAAATGCAGCACAGGTTTTTGCCTCTCAAATGAGCTAAAACAAAGCAATTCCAGCTATACCTATAATGAGGCAAAAATGACAAGTAATGCAAACATCTGCAAGTATTTCACTGAAGCACCTAAAAAATCACCACCAAAAGAACAAAAGATTTCAAAGTACAGTTTCACTCAGCACTTATTAGCAATGAGATGCCTTATTTATGAAGTATCCTGGCAGTGCTGCAGGGCAGGGGGCCCATGGGGTGGGCTGAACATGAGCCAGCAGTGCTCCCTTTCGGTGGCACAGCTGGACCAGGCTGCGGCAGCGGCAGCACAGCAGCTGCTCCAGGGAGGGACTGCTGCCCTCGCAGGAACCACCAGCCCCATTCTGCAGCCCCCTGTACACCTGTGGGTCTCCCCAAACAAGACACCAATATATCCAAGCAAGTCCAAAGGACTGCAAGTGCAAGTAATACCTGGAGGAACCTTTTCCCCAGGAAAGCGACAGGTAAGGAGCGCTGTAATTGCAGCCTAAAACTGCACTGAGACAGAGTTGGACTCAGATTCGCAGTAAAAGAACAAAAGCCTGTGGTATCAAGGGAAATTCTAATGAGATAAAAGGAAAATATTTGCATGGTGAGAGAGGTTAATTACTGAAACAGATTGCCCAGAGAGGCTGTGGTATCTACTTCCAGTGAGATATTCAAACCTTGACTGGATGATCTGATTTCAATAGTTCGTCACAGAGCTAGGGCTGGGTTAGACAACCTCCAGCAATCCTTTCTAACCTCCAGGGCTCTCACAGAATCATTATGCAATAATATGTAGTACTCACCTTTTGAAAAAGCAGATAGTTATTTTGCATAACATTTCCAGATCTGTTTCAAGATTTATCACTTTGTGATAACCCTTCTGGAAAATTAACCTCACCTTTAACACTGTTTGACTATGTTATAACTGTGACTGCTTCCACAACAATAAAATGCCTCAAATTATGTCTTTCAAGAAAGACTTCTAGAAAGATTTAGGTTTGCAATAGGCAAAAGCAGTATGGTTCAAATACATAAATATTCCTGGACATATTTACAATACGCAGGGATATTTTTTCCCACATGTGAAGAAGCAAGTCTTTTAGCATTGATACAGAAGTAACATGATGTTCTATTTTAAACAAAAAGTATCACACATGCTATCACTACAATCATAGAAAGTGGTGAAACAAGGTAACTATGTTTGAAACTAAATGCTCAAGTCAGAAAACAATTCCTAAGTAATGTTTGTGTTGAGATGTCTCAAATGTCAAGAGATACAAGATGAATAAACAGCCAGCCTGTCTTCAGCATTCTCCAAGGGATGCTGATGCTCAGCAGGCTGGCAGAGACGCCCCAGAAAATTCTCATCTTGTTTCAGTAGACTATCCCACATCTGAATATGTTTGAAGTGCATGACAGAACTGGGGACCAAAGCCAAGGAGCAGTTCATTGGCAGGAGAGTTCCTGCCAAGAGCAGGTGATAAAATCAGCTGGAGCAGAGCATGTGGCACTGTCCAAAGGGTATCTCTGCAGCACAGTCAGGATCAGTGCCATACACCTTCAGGTGCCCCATTGGTTTGTTGGTAGGGTTTGGACAGCTGATGTCAGGTGAAGGTAGATCCGTGAGGTTCAGAAAACATTCTGGTTTGGTTGGCTTCACATGCCTATTTTCCATGTCTGAATCATGCAAAATGTCTCCTCAGATGGTGCAGGCAAACTCTGAGCAAACTGAAGCAGAGCTGGGCTGGCGAAGGAGGCAGTCTAGACAACACACCACTCACCCCAGATGTTCAGACAGGGACTCAGTGCTTCAAACTCTGTATGCCCTGCATTAATCACTGCAAACTCCAAATGTGGCCATACCTCATCCTTAGAAATATAAAACAACTCTTTTTTTACAGATATGGCTCTTCAGTCAAGATTCACATTGACATAGTATTTATTAGCCACAGAGAGTATGGTAGCTTATCTCCTCTCAGTCATTCAGTGAAGTCTTCAGCAGCACAGAGCACTATAGATGAGTTCTCATTCCTGTGCCCTCAGTGTAGTTGAGTTCAGCATCACATAACAACCACCTGGCACAGAACTCATATGATAAGGACATAAATGAAATGGCCTTATCAGAGTGCCAGAGCACTACATCCACAAGCAGGAGTGGGACCTGGCACCTTTTACAATAGCCAGGTATCTCAATGCATGAGACAAAACAGGAGACTTATAATAATCTTCACAGGTCAGTCAACACCTATATGTGCCAGCTAAAATCCTGACAGTGACTTGAAAGATTTCATATATGCAATCCTTCTCCCTCAGATTTCATCTCCCCACCTTTCTAACAGCACTGTGAATTTCAATTTCATCTCCCAGGAATTCATTCCTAAATGGATGGTTAATTGAGTGACACATGCAGGTCTCATTTCTGCAATGTTTCAAACCCCGCTGCAAGACACTGCACATTGCAAAGATCAACTTAAAAATTAGGGCAATATTAGTTACATGAACAAATAATTCCTTCAGCCAACTCAAGCTACTGAAGACTGCTCTGTTAGATTAACACACAAAAGACAATTTTGATTTCCTCAATGGAAATCTTAGAAGCTAAATTTCAGCAGGAAAGTTTACTAATAAAACTCTGATAACCCCTAAAATAAAAGACAGTGATACAATAATGATAATATTAGCATACAGTGAAAATAGTAGTAATTTACTGAGACAAAAAAAAAAAAAAAGGACTGTTTCATTTTCTAGAGGCTCTTATATAAAAGTAAAAATAGATCTGTATCAGTAACATCCTGCATCTGCTACCAAGAGCAAAGATGATTCTGTAAAGGATTTCTTCCAGTGTTTCATCACTTAGCCCTGGCTGGGATCTTTAAGTGTTCTTACCCTGCCAGAGACAGTTAAGTGAAATAGGTATCAGATAGAAGCACTAAATACATATAAACCCAGCTTTAAAAGACAAGTAAATCTGCACTGTAATTTAAAAGCACATGAATCTGCCTCTGTAATTTGGTCACTGCAATTGCATTTAAGATAGCAGCATTGACTGTAATGATCTTTCTGTAAAAATCAAGATGTCAAAGGCATGGTTATAAGATCTCTGCTATAATTCAGCACTTATTGTCTTCTCCTTGTATGACAAGTTCTAAAGGAAGATCATTCAAAATACCAAGAAAAACAGACCTCTCATCCCAATGGGAAAAAGTCTTTTACAGAGGTAAAAAGTTTCCAAAGTTCAAAGCTGATTCCTCAGTCATAACTAATCCTGCTTCTTTTTCCTCCTTACTTCACAAAATAATATATTGGGACCACTTCCTTTTCAGATGTGTTCAGAGAACCCTTTACTTTTCAAAAGTCACTCCTAAGAAATAATAATAGTCCATGAATAAGGAACCCTAAAGTATGGAAATATCGGGAAATAAGTTACAATTAGCATTAAAGATCTTCATGTGCTGGCAAACCAGTAACTTCCCACATCTGCCCTCTCTCTTTGAGCTCTCCTCTCTTACACCACAGTGGGAGCTCCTGTGACTTTCAGGGGAGGCAGAGTCCCCAGCAGAGCTCAGCCCTGCACTTAGAGCCTGTTTCAGGAGCAGCAGCAATCACCTCACAACATCAAAGCTGCAGCACCAGCAAGGAGTTCTTAAAAACTGTTACAACATCAAGGAACTTGAGACATGAGTCTCTTGTGCTCTTCCAGTCTCACAACAGACTACCTAAAAATATGTTTTCCAACAAGACCATTTGTCATTATCTCCAGATTTCAGACAACCCCTTACAGGATTTTCCTGAACTACAGTAGGAAAATAGATGTATCCAGTTAGCAAAAATCTAGTTCAATAAATCTATGGAATGCAGATGGTTCAAGTGTGCAAGCCTACTTAATCCAGGTACTGCAGTGGATCACTAAAGCCTGGCTTATTATTGTCCTATTATTACTGTTGCACCCAAATACATTCAGGTCTATTGCTTACTATTTCTTAGAAGCACCACAGAACATCTGCTTATAGTTTTACATCTTATCCTCAAAATCATTTTATGAACCTACTATTATGAGGCTGTTTTTACATTTACTGATCATATTAGCTATCCAAGTTTTTTAACTGACCATCATTCTATGTGCTGGAGAGTAATATCTCATTAGGACTGCTTTTACAGTGTTAAAAAAGTTGAGTTTCAGGCACAAGCCCCAAAATATTTCTGAATATTTGGTGAGCCATCAACAAAGACACCATTATGCATACTTTTTTTTTTTTTTTAAGTACAGAGAGACAACTAAGAGCATCTTTTTTGAACTACTTGTAGCAATTATTCATGATAGAGACCAACACAATGAAGTACATTAGAATAGCAAGAGCTCTAATAAATTTTCCTACCTTATCTGCCATTATCATGGAGGCCCCGCCATGAATTCCAAGAATTGGAATAGAAGTCTGAGATGAAATAAAATCCAAAATCTGAGCTACTGCCTCCTGATCAGTGTCATCTCCAAAAACCACTCCATGGATCTTGGTGCCTGACATCAAGTCACAAACATGTGTTATGATGCTCTTAGGGTCAGTCTGGTTCACAAGAAGGGTCACTACATTGATATCAACAGTCAGGTCTGCTGACATTTCCCTGGTCCAGAGAGCTCTGATATCTCTCTCTGTTATATACTTGGTCCTTCCCAGAATCACTGCAATGTTCAGGACGGGATAATTTTTCTCTGCTCCACGAACAAGATCCAAAGGTGCCAGAAGAGCTTGGAGTACCAGGAGAGCACAGCCAATTTTCCTCATCTTTGCCAGCTTTATCCCCTGTAAAAGTGATCACAATGTATAAGAAGAACATAGAGAAAAACACATATACTGTATATCTTCAAAGAAGGTTTTAAACAGAAAGCTTCTGGGCATAATGCAAACTTTAGCAGCTTTTTATAATGCATCCTTCACCTTAGTTCCAAGTCAAGCCTCTTATATCCTATCAAAAACTTGGCTTGATAATGACAGTATTACAGCTGGTCTTCCACAAGCAAGGCAAAAACTGTAGAATTTCAGAGAAAAGACCCATTAACATTCTTCCTGGATAGCCAACAAAATTAAAATGACTGGCATCATTAAAAAAAAATAAAAAATACATTATCATCCTTCTCTTTAACCTCGCTGTGCTAAAATAGGTAAAAGAAATTTTTTTTCATCTGGGATATTCTCCTTCATCCTGGACATCTATTTAAACTTCAGTCACTGTCTAACAGAGAGAGGTATTTTAGCTCAAAACGAGAGAAGTGAGCCAGAGGTCTGCTGGAATCCCCAGTCCACATACTCCATACATCTCACAGTATCCCAAACCCATGCTGTTTTATTTCTGAAGATCTCTCCTAGGCAGCCGCTGCTTAAGGAATCCTACTGCATTTCTGGAACAGATTCAAAAGCACAATATTCTATCTTAATTCTTTTCTGTGCTCTCATGCAGTATTCAGAACTTGAGCATCTCAGAACTGCTGATCTCGGACACTAAGTTGTCCCTGGTGTTGAAGGGGAGGGTGTTCCACAAATGAGCATCACTGCATTGGTTACCTCATGTCTTCACTGAATCTCTGTAGGGGGCTGAATATAGACGGAGTAGGATGGGGAGAGAGATGAGCCACAGAACGGATCTGAACTATCTGAAGGAGGGAGAAGGAGAGCGGGTCTGACTCTGCAAGATCTCCCCCTGTTTCTGTGCCCCGAGGGATTTCCACCCCCATAACTGGCTCTCTGCTAGCTGCAAGAAGGGAGTCCCTGTGCCACATAAAGCCAAGCTTGTTGCAAAGCGTCACGCAGAACACACAAGCGGGGCTGTCCAATCAGGGGTGGCATTTTTCAGATCTCCCCTCTCATCCTGCCAGCCCTATCTTCATCCTCAGTCAGAGCCGTCTGCTGCTGAAACACACCGCCAGACACGGGCTTGCAGCAGCACCGCTTCCTCTCGGGGCACGCAGGGGGACGAGCGCTCGCAGAGCATTTAACTGCACATCAGCGCTGCCCGATCCACTGCGGGCCGGGCTCCCGCCGGCCGCCGCCACACCAGCGGTGGAACAGCAAACCGAAGTGTCCCGGCTTCCCCCCGGCCCGAGGAAGGCTCCGGGCCCCCCGGGCCCCCCGGGCCCCCCGCTCCGCGCCCCCCGCTCGGCGGGCACCGCTCCGGCTGCCCCGGGAGCGCGCCCCGGGAGCGCGCCCCGCCGGGCCGGCCGCGGCGCGAGGGCGCCCCCTGCTGGCGCGGGGCCGCACGTACCCAGCGCCTCAGGAGACGGAGCGGCGGCGGCTGCCGGAGGTGCCGGTGCTGCTGTCGGTGTCGCTGCAGGACATGTCGCGACCGCGGGCATGTCGCGCCCCTCGCTGCCCGGGCTCAGGGGCTGCCTCCGCGCCGCCGGCCGCACGCGTGATCCCCGCCGCAGCCTGCGAGCGACATCGCGTCCCGGGAGGGCAGCTAGGTGGACAGGGAGACAGGCAAGGGGGGGCTGGACACGGGGGGGGACGGGACGGGACAGCGGGGGGGAAGAGGAGACGGGGAGAAGCCGTTAGTCAGGTTGCAGATTTGACAGGAGGAAAAGAAATACACTTCGATCGCATGTGAGATGTGAACGGAAATAAAGTGGCTACACTCAAAAGTTCCCCCCCTTCACTTAGAAACAGATTTCAGCTCTCTGCTAAAAGCAGCTCCGTGAGCCCACAGCCGTCCGGGATACGTCCCTCATTTTATCCAGGTCACGAAAATCCTGGGCTCCCAACTGCCCGTTTGCTTCCAAGTGAGATGGACGGGTTTGGGTCTAAGGGAAGAGACATCCATCCTGGAAAGCGCAGCTAGGAGCAAACTGATTAACGTGATCAAGGGCAGGAGTTCTCTTGGCAGGTTCGAAACAAACATAACCTGGAGCAAAGCTAAAGCGGTGTGGGATAAAGCTCTTTTCGTTCCTGAAACAGAATGGCTTCATACCCAATTTACCATAAACAAACCCGGGGAGACACTATAGCAGAGCGCGCCACGGAAAGCTCGACTGCTTTGGTTTTTTCATTCACAGTTCCCAGTAAATATGCATGAAGACAGTTCAAGCAACCCCAGCTCTATGTAGGACGCTGGCGCGCCAGGCAAAGCAGCCGGCATTCCCTAAGTGGCCCTCGGTGCTGGCCGGGAGCTCGGAGCGCAGCCCCGGCCGGAGCCGGCACCGCCGAGCCCTGCGCGGCACCGGGCTCAGCGCCCCTGCCCCGGAGCCGGGCACCATCCGGGCTCCCCGCGAAGGCGATACTTACTGCATTCTCCCTCCACATAGTTCCAGTTTAAAGATCCTCAAAGTCATTTCAGTAGATTCCTTTGCAAACAGTGAAGTGGAAAATAGGTCCCTTAACGCCTGGATTTCATCCTGCAACTTGTTCCCACCGCAGTAAATAGCAGCCCAGCAGCTCTTTATCGCTTGAAATCCCGCATGATCAAGTTTTAGCAGAGCCATTGCAACTGAGATTCGCTCTTTACTTTTGACAGGAGGCATTTAAGCGTCTTCATTTTTTTTTTTTTTTTTCCCCTTTTTTTTTTTTCTTCTCTTTTTTTAAATTGCGATATTGCCGCAGCAGTTCCCCAGGACGGCAGGCGCGGATCCCCGCGCTGCTCTCGGCTCCTTGGCAGCGGCGGGGGGTGGCGGCTCGGAGTCCGGGAGGTGCGGCGGGCTCCACCCGGGGCCGCCTGCGCGGCGCTGCGGGCTCAGCCCGGCCCGCTCCGCTCCGCCGCCCCCGGCACCGCCGCCCTTGCAGGGGCGCAGCTCACGGCCGCCCTGTCAAACCGAGAGCAGCCGCGGATACTTTGAAGGCTTCTCCCCCACCTCGCCCCCCCTCCCCGCTCCGCTTGCACAAGCACCAGCGAATGAGTCAGACGCAGGCAGTCGGGGGAGGGGGTGTCAGATCTGGGGGAACGGCGAGAACACCGGGTTTGGGGCACAGGAGTGGCAAACTCGAGCGCTCTCCCCGCAGTAACATCCCCAGCGAAATGTTGGTAGCCCGGGAAACCCCCGAGTGTTCTCCTTTCCCTTGATGCAGGGGCTGTCAACCAGAAATCCCTGCCGTGGGGCTCAGGGGAATGAATGTGGAGCAGCAGCTTGCACACTAAAAGCAGCCCTAAAAGCTCCAGACAGCAGCCAAATATCACAAAAAATCTCTGTAGAAGTTGGCTCCATCTGGGTATCCTTGCTGCTCCATCCTCCTTTCCATTTCAAAGCCTAGAGCCTGTTTCTCCGTCTCCCATTCCCCTCTCACAGCCCTGGTGTCAGACCTGCCTGGCCTTGGAGCAATTCTTGCCTTCCTGCCCACACCACAGCCCACCTAAACCTCCCTCTGCCACTCACTGCTGTGCCTTCTCCCTCACTCCATTTCTCTCCTTCTTTTTGCTTTCCACCATCCTGGTGCAGCTGCCACAACTTATTTAGTTCTGCACAAATGAATGTGCCAGCTAAGTACCACAGAGGGATGGCCTCTTCCGTGCTCCATCCTTCACAGCCGTGTTCGTTCCTACACTGAATACTTCAGAGTAAGGCAAAGTCACACGTCTTGACAGAACCCCAACTCCTATGCCAGGGGAAACTTTTGGGTTCAAATAGGATAATGCCAAGTGTTCACCCACTGAAGTTTGCTTTTCACTACATTAAGACACAGAACACCAAGAAATCTCTCCCAAAGACATTTAACAACACATCAGCTTTACTGTTCTTGACAGTCTCATCATTGAATTCCCTGATAGGTCTATGCCTGGTTTTTTTTCTCCTTTGAAAGATCTCACCTCCTAACTTATTTAGGGATTACTTCCTCAGACATTACATTAGTCTTTCTAAGCAAAGCAATTAAGCAGCTTCAACTGCCTTTTTTTTGTGTGTGTTTGATGTTTTAATGCATCTCTGCATTTCACCCTGGATGAACATTTTCCCCCTGTAAATATTACAGTGATGTTTGCCACGGTTACTGGAGATGAGGTTACAGTTCCATCCCTGTGTAAGGGTTATTTCAGTGTTATCATTCAGGAGATTTACTGGAACAGCAGCAAAAATGGATTCAAAATCCTCATATGCAAGTGAAATTCACAATGGTGAAAAATTGCAGCTCTAACATAAGCTTATATTTAAAATATAAAAAGGGACACAGTGTTCTTGGGAAATACTTAGTATACAATATACTGTGTACAATACACTAAGTCTAATGGTGTGAAAGACCAAAACAAGAAATACCCACATTTTCTAACTTCAGAGCTATATGATTTTCACTAATCTAAATTTAGAAACAGTTTAGCATTATTTACAAATATTTTTCCTCAATTACTCTTAGAAAATTTTGTGGAATATCATGATAGAACAGTCCAAATTTACAAATTAGAGTTAGAATAGAACATATTAAAAGTTTGTGTAAACACAGTGGGGTAAATCTTGGCAATACACACATAGTCTTCACAAAAGCTTCACCAAATTCAAGCAGATTACTGCCTACAGAATTGAGCAAATGCTGCAAAATTAAGACTGCCACTTTAATAGACATTCACACTCCATCTCTAGGTATATTTGCACAGTTTTAAATTAAAGAGCTGCAAACAAGATAAGAAGTCAACTTCACTCAGCAGAAAGAAGAAAATAAAACCTACATTTAATTGTCTAACCCTTGTAAATTTTGTGTAAGGGAACACTTACTTCATAAGCACTGTAACAAACACTAACACCCCTGCAGGTGGGGCATTGAGCATCTTCATGGACATTTATTCCAGAAGGCAGGTGGATTTATCCCTAAATGATTGCCTTCTCCATAGGGGCAGCTCTGCACTTTTCTAAAAGCACCCAACAAGTTTGGAATCATGCATTCTGAGGATATTTTCCACCTGAAGTTTCCCTACCAGGCCTGCCTCCTACATAAACATATATTTAAAGGTCAGGAACTTCCTTCATACTCTGCTCCTTCTAAAATAACATCAAATTACAAGAAGGTTTCCTCTTTCTGAAAAAGGCCTGTTGCAGAGAGCACTTGCTAACAGAAGCAAGTAGCTAAATGATCAGGTACAAGCAATGTTTCCAAAGCAGGGTCTGACGGGCTGGCACAAGGCAGATTTCTGTCTCTGACTCCTTAGTGAGTGACACTAACCTGCTCTCTATTTGCTTTACTGTACCAGCTGAAAGATGCTTCACCTCAGACATGTTAGACAGCTAAATTAAAAGTCAAATTAAACCTCAAGATTCCAGAAAACAACTATATAATTTTCCTCTTTCTTTTACAAAGTGCAGTAAAGTAAGCTAAATATAAACATACTCTTTAAAAAAACAGAACTCTTCCCATAAAATTACAACAAAATTAATTTAGAAAATACTGTATTAGAGGTCCCATTATTGCCACTCTGCTATCAATAGAGGTCGTTTTCTTTGCAGTTGTCTTTGCAAAAGTTTTAAGACAATCTGGGAGATCTCTCAAACAAATGGCAGATTTCCTCAATAATCCTTGCAACGTGAAAACTCCATTGCAACAACTTCCTGAGTTTAATGAAACAGAATGGTAACAAGCTTGGTTAAGGGAGAGAAGCTCCCTTGGAATTCTTTCCAAATTGAAAAATGTTTTAATTCCAGCAATAAACTACTTTTACATTTAGGTATTATTGTTGTAACTTCTAACAATTTGTTTATATGCAACTTATCTTCCACAAATATCTGAATTTCACCTACTCTGACAATGTGTCCAACAGGAATCAAAAGTGACATTGATGCAAAGTCATTTTTCAGTACCACATAGGATCAGGTCTGAAATTAAACCACTTGACTCAACAAAACTTAACGCATAGCAAAACAAGGATACAGTAACATAAATTTACTCCTGGGAGGCTGCAAAGTTACTTACATGCTAAATGAAATCAAAGTAAAAATGGGAAAGAAGTCAATTGTTTTCAAACTTGCTAAAACATTTTGTCACAGATGGCCCTCTTATTGAAAACTGGCATAGCTCCTCATTTGGCAGTGCTCTTTCTTGCACAATTTACCAAGTCATGCATGAAATGATGGCCTTAAGCTACTCTCAGTTTTGCAAAGGACATGAGCTAGCTGCCATGGAAAAAAAGAGGAGGCAATATCACTGAGTGGAGCTTGAGGCTGTTAGAGCACTTCAGCTTCCCTACAAACAACCCCCAGCAAGGAGGGAACACCCCAGGGACTGCTCAGCCAGAATTGCTCCTTTCCACCTCACCTCTGATTATCGGAGCTCTTCAGGATTCACCAGGATTGTCTCTCTGCCTCTTTTATAACCAATTTCCCATATCAAATTAATCTTCAAATGTATTTCCAAACTCTTCTATGCAGCTCCCAAGAGGAACTATTTTTTAGTCAAATTTAAGGGTCAAAACAGAATTTCATAATGAACTCTGTACTTTTTAATTAAGGCAGCTCTATTAACAAAGATCTGTGTCACAGCAATGCTGTCCTGTGAAGACTGTGTCAGTACCAATCCCATTAAACACTGGACTGCCTGCACAAGGCCTCAGGGAACTGAATCAGGTAAATACTAGTTTAAGACTGCCTCTCTTGCCTCACTGCACTTCCCCATTGTAAATTGGGAAATATCAGTAAATTTATAATAAAATCTCCTAGGAACACCCAAGGAAACTCCTGACCACTGCATGGCCATTACAATTTATCCATTAATGCCTACAGCAGTTAAGGAACAGTCAAAAATTGCCACTATTTATTTAGGGCCAAAATATGATCTCCTAATCCTCACTGAATTTAGTAACTAAAGTGGTAAGCCAGAATTTTTAAAATACCATTTGAAGCCTCCTCTTCAGTCACCCTAAGCCCTACAGATCTGCCTCATGTATCTATTCTGGACAGAGTGATGAGCCTCCCAGACAAGCAGTTACCACCTTGTATTGATCTGCCTAAAGGATGCTCAGATTTTGGAAGTGCATAGTGACAGCAGTAGTTTTGCTCTTGCCTCACTTGGAACATCCAATGTGCCCCCACATTTGAGATGGCCTACCTTTATCTACCTTTATATAGATTTTATATACCTAAAAAAAACCTCTGTGCATATAGCTGATGTCTGTTTTCAAGTTTTTACCAAAAATTGTTTGAATTTAGAGATTACTATAATTTTTATCTTTTGATGAAACAATACTCATTTATTAGGTATTCAAGGGGCTGGACAGACTTGTTAAGTTTGAAAATAATAATTAGAAAAATACCCTATGAATCTTTAAGACAGGTGAGCTACTTGTCTTTACCAGTATTAGTATAACATGTAAAACAATCTGTCATGAAATATGATGTTATTTTATATAATTTTTTTTTGCATGAAAAAATTTACTACTTATGACTGATAAGAGCCAGCAGTGACCCCTCACACATTGTTCATTGGCAGAACTTGTTTGCTAAAAGAAAGTTGTACTGAGTGGGAAGCACCAAGATGCCTACACTGCATCTGCTTCTCAGTGCTTCACTAAGCAAATTCTTAGG